AGAAAAGGACATGAAGTCTTGAGTTCTTCCTCTGCTCTGAGGGGAAATCGATTCACATAACATTAACATTCAAGACACTTGCCTGACATTCTAAAAATAGGCTGATGCTGAGACAGAACAAGAAATGGGAAATCTTTACAATGATTAATAACAATTTTCATTTCAAGCCTGTCTGAACCAATTTTTGCTGTTGGCTTCATAAAGACCTCACTGCCTGCATGCTACTAAAAGCAATGCAAGTAGTAAGTTAAAAAAAAAAGTATATATATTTGCAAAGACAGCTTGAAAGTTAAGAACTGCCAGATTATTTAACTTCAATTTGTAATCTTTTATCCCATTTCTGCTTGTTTGTTCTTTCCGAGTATGAAAGTATTTCCCAACAAGTCTGCCTCAAAATTATGCCAGAATTTGGCTTAGAATATATCTCTCAAAAATACATTATAGAAGAAAGATAGAGATGATCAAAAACAGAACAAATCTACTTAATTATTGGAAGATTAATTTGACCCATAGCTACCTTTGCTATTGCTGTGGTAAGACGAAAACTGCTATTTCTGGTAATCAAGCTAGTTTAAAAAAAATGCATATAGAGTTTAACTGCTGTAAAATCCATTCTAAGCTGAGCCTAAAGATACTAATATGTTGTAAGCATAAATTGAGTAACAGGGAACTGGCATTTCACAACCAACAAAAATCAATTAAATGAGAGAAAAAATGAGAAAAAAAAAGAAACCCGAACACTTGAGAGAGTCTCCACTGTGACTGAGAAAATAACCTTTACCAAAGCTTTAAAAAAAAAAAGGTATTATAATGACATTAGTAGACAATGAATGTTTCAAAAACCGACCATTTTTCTAGGATTTAAGTAGGATGACCTGGATAACAATAGGTGTGGAGGCCTGACAAATAGTAGAATTGTTGACCCTGAACATGATTAGCAAAGAATTAAGGAGAGTTATAATAATGGAGATATATAATTAATACAAATTATAAGTGTGGTTGAGATTTTTTTCAAGGCTTAATAATTAAACAGGTATTTACCTGTTTTGGTTAACAACATGGTGCACATTAGATAAGCTGAAATAGGCTAGAAAATGGTATCCACATGCCATTGAAGAATTATCAGCAAGTAAATGTCATCATGGTAAGTGTTGTGAGAGTTAATTCTGAACCTACTTAATATTCTCAGTGGCATAGGAAAAGAAATACTGATTAATGTATTTATGTGTTACCTTAGAGCATTCTATTTACATTAAAAATATGTAGAAAACAAACAGCAAGTTAAACCAGTAAGGACTTACTGCAGTCCTGGTATATTTTCTGCTAGTTGGAAGACAAGGTTTTCCCTCAATTGCAGTAACTGCATATTTATGTCACCGTTGAAAAATAAAGATATAATGAAATAAAATAACTACCTAATTGTTAAAAATTATAATATATGTTAATATATTAACATATAATATATGTATAAAATAATATATGTTAAAATTGTTAAAAATATATACATTCAATGTATATATTACACGAATAAAAGTAGAGCTGGTTACAAGTACACAACAAAAATAACACAGAACAAAGAGGGGAGTGCATGCGTGTGCAGGGTCATTGTGCCTCACAGATGCAGAAGGTCTTTTACAACTTGTTATGGTTTTACTCACCATAATAAAAAATTAACACCACAATTAAGGGTGTGTATACATGTAGGATTCAATGTATATATTACACGAATAAAAGTAGAGCTGGTTACAAGTACACAACAAAAATAACACAGAACAAAGAGGGGAGTGCATGCGTGTGCAGGGTCATTGTGCCTCACAGATGCAGAAGGTCTTTTACAACTTGTTATGGTTTTACTCACCATAATAAAAAATTAACACCACAATTAAGGGTGTGTATACATGTGTGTAATTACCTCAGAGGAAAGCTATTCTCTATGCTTTCCTCTTACAGATTTTCATTTAGGGCATGCACCTTGGGTGATAGCCTGTGCATAAAAGACAAGACAGGAGGAAAAAAAATGCAAACACAGATTAGATACAACTCACTGAAGTCATGAGGAAGTTCGCTTTGCATTATCTTTTGATTAATTCATTATTTTTAAACTAAGAGAAGTCATCAGACAAGCAAGTTAGAGTGGAATTCTGTAACAGCAGCCCATTTACTGAACTTGCTATCTCTCAGTGGCTTTATTTCTCTTCGTATTACTCAAACAGAAAGATTTTTTTTTTTGCCTTTTGTATACATACCTTGTTTGGGGACATTTTTTTCTTTCATGAAGCTTTTCCAGAAAGTTATTGCTTTCAGCATCTTCCTCTTATCTATTCATAAGCAAAGCAGGATAATATAGGCCCTTAAATTTATTCACAACCTGAAAAAAGTTACCTCAAATATTTGATAAGGATAAATGTGACTAGCAGAAACTGAAACAGAGAGGGGTTAGATTATAAGAACATGATCTGCTCTGAATAAACCTAAGTGCCACTGCTTGGCTGCTAAAGGAGCTTGGAGGAAGCAAAGTAGGCAAAGAAGTGTAAAATTAAAAAAAAATGTTGTGCACTTCTTGCAATAATTGTGTTAGAATGACATGCAGGAAGAGGTGTGATCCTCTACGGTCACACCTATGTGAGCAGAAGCCCTTGCTCTAAATGCAACTGCTCCTAGAACACCACAGTTTTTGCTGCTGGTCTATTGCTTTCCCCAAATTGTCCACACAGCCCCAACATAAGATCTGTAGGCAAAGGCAAACGAAAAAAAAAAAAACAAACCCACCACCACCACAAAACACATCGGGCTTGCAAGCTGCCAGGATCTTAAGAAGGAATAATCTGCTTGAAGCCTTGTACACCTGTATAACTCACACTGCCAGATGACAACCAATACAACACTGCTACAATTTGTGTTAAGAATAAAGGCAAAGCATTTTTACTATACATAAAATTTAGGAGAGTGACTCCAAATCACAATCAATCTCTAAATTCACTGTTGCTTCTGAAAGGGAGTACATGAGAGGCACCCATCTAGCCAAGCGTGCTTTCTGTGGGACACAATAGCACTGTTACTCCTCTCACTATCTACCCTATTCCCCTTTCCCTCCAGCTTTGCCTTGCCTACACAAGGAGAGGCCAAGATTCACTCAAGCTAGAATCCCATGAGGACAAAGACATCCAATCTCTTCACATGAATTAACACCGTGTTAAAATTGGGTTCCCACACAGTTCTAAATCAAACCAGTTTATTTAGGTAAAAACTACCAAGTGCTTTGCTCTAATGAGGGTTAGTTAACTTGAGAAATAGTTCTGTGCCTAAACTGAGGCCAGAAGCGTGGGTGTACTTGATGTAGACATGACTGTTTTAAATTGGGCAACACAGGTACTAGTAGGAGCATCTCTATAGCAGCACAGACACCAG